CGCATCGAGTGGCAATACCATTGATCCAGCATGCTATAAGCAAACTGCGGGAATATGAGGGAGATACGCTCAAGCATCTCAATCCGCTCATGGCCCTGAAAATGTTTCCACATATCCCAGAAGTTGCAGAAGGCTGATTCACGTCCCATTTCACGTTCATACAAAAACAGCAGGTCCATGATACTTGCTTGTGGTATCCGCAAAGCGCGCCATCTCCGCATCTGAATCTCCAGGGTAACATCAATAACCAATCTATGCAAAGCATCACCACCATGCAGTACTCTGGATATCTTGTTGCTTCCATGCAGTGGACACAGTTTCATGGCAGCAGCGCAGCGCAAATCAGACTACGAAGACGAGAAAGCCTTTAATCCCAGGGGTCCCAGCAGAGCCGAGACGCTTACTCCAAGACGAAGGCGAAGGCGACTCCACACGGCCGACCAGTTCTCGGAACCTCAATTAAAGTCAAATGCTCAAGACTTAGATGAAGTGACCTCGATAATAATACGCCATGCCATCCTGCCTAAACTTCTGAACCTACTGAGTTCCAGGATTCGGGCGACAGTCATAGTTGAACGAGATAAAAAGTTACACTGCAAGTCATCTTAGAATCTGGACATCGGATCCCAGGACTCAAACCCGTGTAGAGGACCAGATCAGTAAAGCATTTACCTTAGCATCAGCCACCTAAGTCCTAACCCATGTTCCAAGGATCGGAGTATATATTGGAGTCAAATCCATGTGACATGTGGCAAAAAGTCACTTGAGGCCGGCGACACGACAAGCAAAGCAACACTTGTAGTGCCAAACCTCTCGTGCATCAACCAACTCATTCAGCAATGTGCAAACAGCTGAGGGGAACTCTTCCCAGAGGCATCATGAGAGCGGACGAAGTCGAAGTCGAAGACGAAGTCTTGGACCTGGCATCTCGAAATGAACCACAATCAGGCCCTACACCAATTCTGAGCAACTGCTGCTAAGGCAGCTGCCTCCAAGCCATTCGAGCAGCTCTGGCATGGAGCCTGTCCATATCTCACCAATTACCGTGTTCATTCAGCAAACAGTAGAGGCACCTCCTTCGCAGACGAAGTCGAGATTGTGGACCTGACCATCATCTAATTTCCGACCAGGCCGATAAAAAGCTGCGAAACTAGCTCAGGCGCTGTCTCCATGACGAAGATGGCATAAACGACCTCACTGAGCGGGATTTCATTAATCGGAAGCTGGTAGAATCTAGGCTGTTGGCCTTGTCCAAATCAAAGTCGAAGGATGTGACCTGGCCGTGCCAGGCATTGGAATCGACACGAATGCTGCTGCCTTTCACCTACCTCGAAGCTGACCGAAGCCGAAATCCAGGACCTGGCAACCAAGCGGGAAACACACTCGAAATCAAGAGCCACGCATTTGCCTCCCAAACCATCAGGGTCATGACGTCGTCCACCATGATAGACCTGGCATCTGGAAGCACAAAGATGAAGAATGTCATGTGATTGGGGTGGAATCAGGGCCCGAAAGCTCTCCTGATAAATGTGTTGCTGGGGCCCACACTGGAGCTCACCCAGCAGAGTTTAACCAGGGCCCAATCGAGCACACCTGGTTGCTGGGGCCCACACTGGAGCTCACCCAGCAGAGTTTAACCAGGGCCCAATCGAGCACACCTGGTTGCTGGGGCCCACACTGGAGCTCACCCAGCAGAGTGAAACCAGGGCCCAATCGAGCACACCTGGTTGCTGGGGCCCACGGAGCTCACCCAGCAGGGTTACCAGGGCCCAAATGAGCACACCTGGTTGCTAGGGCCCATGACGGAGCTCGCCCAGCAGAGTGAAACCAGGGCCCGAGTGAGCACGCCTGGTTACTGGGGCCCATGACGGAGCTCGCCCAGCAGAGTTTTACCAGGGCCCGAGTGGGCACGCCTGGTTACTGGGGCCCACGATGGAGCTCGCCCAGCAAAGTTTGACCAGGGCCCGATTGGGCACGCCTGGTGGTCACTGGGGCCCACGATGGAGCTCGCCCAGCGATACTGGGGCCCAAAGGGGCTCACCCAGTGATTGGGGCCCGAAAGAACAGAGCTCGCCCAATCAGCACCCCCAAACCCAACCTGTCAAACCCCGAAACCCCCGGGGTTTGCCCCCGGCCTCCTCTCCACGTGGTGTCCGCGGTCTACGATGGGGTTTCGGGCTTTAATAAGGGTTCAGGGTTTAGGGGTTTTGGCTTTCGGGGGACGACTTAATGGGTTCGATATTAGGACTTATCATTATTATCAGGTGGATTTTGAGATTTGTGGGTTTCGCCTTCGTTATTTATGTTTGTGTTTTATAATATGAGTCGAGGTCCTTTTTATTGGGGGATTTTCAGGTTCGTGGGTTTCGCCTGAGTTAATCCCACCACTTAGGAAGTTCATGGTTTAGGGATGGTTAGGGGTTTAGGGTTTCTTGATTTTTGATTGTTGTTGCTGATTAGTGATTAGTTGGGTCATTGGGGGTTCGGCGGGACCCTGAACACCCCCAAGCCACACTCCCAACTTACACCCGAAATCCCTACAGTACACTTAAACCTTGATCCCCTCAACTCCAAATGCATACCAGAAGTTTTGAACCCCAGCAACCCTTAAGGAACCTTGACCTATGAATATTGCACCACCCAACCCCTAAGTTCAGGAACCCCCAAATCCATATAGGTTCACGACCACACCCTTCTGAACCCTCAACCCTGGTCCCCTACCCCGGACCCCTAAACCATGACCATAACTGCCAACCCTGAATTTCTGAATCCCAAAATCCCAAGACACTTGAATCCTATGGCCGTGCCGAAACCCCACCAAAACCCTGAAAATAAAAATTGAAGCTCACTCACGCCCCGCCTGAAGACCATGAAGATGTAGCACACGACGAAGTCGAAGGCGATACAAGCCAGACCCGCAACCGCGCTTTAGAAATAATCGCGATTATCTAAATACCGAAATCAATAGCAGTGACAAAAGCTTCAAGTTTCATGATGCCAATGCGAATACGAAGGCGAAGTCGAATACCGCTACTACCACTGCTACTGAAGTTGTGAGATTTCAAAGGATACAAACTCTTATGAGCAATGCCACTCAAAGCTAAGCTAAAAACTGCAATTGTACCAAAATATCAGAATGATCATAATCAGAAGGGTAATATTTGTCATCATGACGATACTCATCATCACCATCATAAACACCATAATGCAAAACAAATAGTCGAATAATACGATAAAATACAGCATTACCTAATATCATCTGGCATATTCCAATAATTATAGCATATCAGACATGTATCACAAAATGTCCTAATATGCCATGTAATATTCACTCACTGTTGTATAAACATGGAATATGAATATGTACACCATATATATTATTACAGAACAGCACTGATGTAATATATAAAATCAATATGCAGACCAATTGTTATTATTACTGTAACATGATATAGTAATAAATGGTGAGGCACAGTAAAATATTATAGGATTTCAGACAGTATGATCTGATATAAGATTGTAATATTATGCTATAATTAAGATAGACAAATGTTAATTTTAGCAAAATGCTATACCATATAAACCATAACATCATCCATATGTTATATATATACATATACACATGTATATATATACACATGTATATATATATATATGCCTATTGACTAATAAATAAAGACTACTACCAGTAACAATCCTATCAGTATGACATAATCATAATCATAATAATGATGCTAAGGTTAATAATAAATAATATTATTAATAGAAGTAATACTAATAATATTAAGTTAAGAATACCTTAATAATGCTAGTAATACTGATATTAAAAATAATACTAATAATACCTTAGAACACTAATATTACCAATAATACTAATAATACCAATAATACTAAGATACTAAAAACAATAATACTACTAAGAATACCAATATTACTGATAATACAACAATAATACCAATAATACTAATACTACTACTAATAATAATAATAATAGTAATAATAATAATAGTAATAATAATAATAGTAATAATAATAATAATAATAATAGTAATAATAATAATAGTAATAATAATAAAAATAATAATAGTAATAATAATAATAATAATAGTAATAGTAATAATAATAATAATAATAATAATAATATAATAATAATAATAGTAATAATAATAATAATAATAGTAATAATAACAATAATAATAATATAATAATACTAATGATAATAATATTAATATTTATTAATGCTGGGGGGGGTTTGGGGGGGGGGTTCGGCGAAGGGCGCCGGGGTTCGACGAAGTTCGTGCGGGGGTCGTCCCTTCCCCCGCTTCGGCTTACCCCTCTCCGTTTTGCCCTGATTTACGACTCTCTAAAACTCCATGTACCCCAAAATCAGATACTCAGGCCCAAAGAGTACCTACATACATGGCATACATACGCACCCTTTTAAGGCCTAAGTATGTGCGATATGGGCACATGCTGCCTAGGGGTAAGGCCGAATCAGAAATCCAACAGCCACAACAGGGAAGAGGCCCTGCCTGGCTTGCACTACAGTGTTGCAGGGCTCGCGCAAAGCTGCTTGAGCTTGTGGCGCCCTCCCGTAGCACGGACAAAGTCGACTGTTCAGAGTTCACAACATCTATGGTAGATGGGGGCTATTCTCTGGCAAGCCATGTGTATCCTGAGGAATGCAACGTGAGTGCTCGCATGATCTTTCAGTCAATGTAGAACTAGGTTGGCCCGACAAATATTCGCGAATAAGAACCTAGTAAGCCCAGGCCTACCCGAAGAACCAGTACGCACACCCGCCTAAAGGACTCATGAACATATCGGGAGCACAGCATACTAGCATCCCATGTCACACCCTAGCCCCGGACTCCAACCGACCAGCCATGCTGCCTTCTCTCGCATGTTTTTTCCCATCTTGTGTCGGGCAGGACAGCAAAGAGTGGGAGGCGGGGGATTCGGGATTGGGGCTTGGGGCTGCTTGGGAAGGATACGTCCGGTCAGTTGTCGACCATGCTGTCCGCCGGCAGGTTGTCCTGCAGATCAAGTCGCGGAGACTATTCCTAAATCCTTTCACCAAGTTCTCAAGCTCTCCCATCTCAGGATATGTGGGTCTCGAGTTAGCTGTGGTTAGCATGCTGGGCCCGTCTTTAAGAAGGTCCCTCTCGTGCCCAGTTTACGGCTCAGGGTTTCGGGTATAATGCCAACCTGTCCTTCGCATCGGGAAGTGGAACCGGATCGTTCGGGGTGAGCTGGCGCGGTATCAAGAGAAAGATCAAAGGAATCGGCAGCAGTCTGCACAGTGCTTTCGTCACCAGGCCGTGCACTAGGTAGTCAAAGTTCCCGTCCACGATGCCCCACAGCTCGCAGAGACTGACCCCCAAGAACTTTCCAGTGTCGACACCTCAGCTTTTCACCGGCAGTGCTCGTTGAAGCGACTCCTTGCCCTTCAAGCCCTAAACCCTAAACCCCTAACCCCCTAAACCCTAAACCCCTAAACCCTAAACCCCTAAACCCTAAACCCCTAAACCCTAAACCCTAAAGCCCCCCAAGCCCTAAACCATGAAGCCTTAACTCCCAAGCCCCCATGCCATGCTAGCTCGCGACCGATGTTGTTCAGGGCCATCAGCGTGGCAAAGAGCGTAGCCTGAGGCTGTTTTGCGAAGCTGTCAGTACCGGATGTCCTCCTACGGGTCCTCCTGATTTTTCATAAGCCCCCTTCTTTGCAGTACACGTACTTTCGGGGCCTTAATAATTAGAATGGGGTTTTGGGGCCCATTGTTTATAGTATAATTACTCTGTTTAAAGTAAGAGTAAGTACTGAGGCCCCTATATTATTCGGCACTCAAGCTAGGACAAGCCAGGCGAGGTTGTTCACGAAAGTCGGTTGAGGTGAAACCTACAGGATCTAGCTTGATAGTAACGACGCGTAGTATCACGACTTCTATAGCGGCCTTAATAATGAGAATAGGGTTTGGGGGTACATTATGGTATAAACGTAACAAGGAACCCCCAGAATAGTATCGGCAATGACTAACGCCTCTATATTACACAAGCAATCAATCTCGTACCAACGAGTGCCGACGGAGCTTTTGGGGATTGAGACTTTCAGAATCAGTGTTTTACCCTAAGGCTCTTCGTTTTGGGGGTTCATTTAAAGTAATCCCAAAAAGGAACTACTGAGGAGCCTCCGGGTAAAGCTTCGCACCTCAGGTGCTTGGAGATATTGGCGTTTGGTACTTTGCCGCTTTGGGTTTAGGGATTCAACAACCCGAAAGCAGTTCATCAAACTCCATCCCCCCTACCAAGTCCCAAAACAGCGGGCGCCTCCAAATTCAGGGGGCACACCTTGTATGCCAGAACCTCATCATGTCACGAGTGGCTCGGGGTACCACGATGCGACGTTAACCGTTTAAGGTTTGGCGTTTTGGATTTATATAGGGTTCTTGGGTCTCGCAGGTTTGCAGCTTGCGCCTGCTGCACCTCCGTGGGGCACCTCCTGCTTGCTTGTGCCCACTGCGGATCCTGGTCTGACCTCTAACAGTACCTGGTACCTAGCATCTCCCGAAGAGAACCAAGGTCTTTTAACCCGGAACCCCTTAAACACGACATCCAAACACCCACACCCTAAACCCGTCATCCCTAAACCTTCGTCTACTTCCGCCTGAAGCCCAGTAGGGACCGTAAGCTTGATCGGTTTGGCTTTATTAAGATCCTCTCCCTGAACCATCCAAAAGCTCCAACTTCTCCTACATAGAACACGGAAAAAACGAGCAAGCTAAGATATGCAAGTCTTAGGACTTGAGAAACCTTAGACCCCAAATATGCATAATGATTTTGACAATGGTTTGCTAGTTACATTGCAGCAAAATGACCAAATGCTACGAGCACTAAAGTTGGAGATGCCAAAACCAATCCAAGTGGCCACCAAAGGCACATAGAACAATTTGGAAACAGCGAGGTCGAAAGCCGTGTCGCCGACATAAAACCTGAGCTTCAGTTCGGGCTCTTCGTCACTTCTGTGTTTCAGCGCCCATCGGGAGCCCTGAACCTTGAACCCTGTGTGTATAAAAATCGATGCACATAAATTTATGTAAACCCTAAGCGCTAAACCAAGGGTTCAAGAATTCAAGATCACGACTATAATTTCTGAGACGATGGTAGTTCGGTGTCCAGGATCTTGATTTTCAACGCAAGCCACAAGAAGCCAGTCAGTCTGCAAATAGCTGATGCGCGAACCGACAAATAACAGGCGTTGGGCAGGGCACGGGGGCAATTGTACATTGTAAAGCGTTGCAAGACGACGACATGTACTGGAAGCTGCTAGGCTATCCTCTGAAGACAACGATGGTCAACCTGATCCGTCCAGGTTGTACTGCTGCAAGCACCAGGAGTTGAAAGCCTTTTGAAATTTTGAGGCTTCAACTACTTCCGTGAGATATGCACAGGCCAGCACCGGATTAGCTAGAGATTTCTCCTTGAACCAGATTGATGGCGGACCAGCAACTAAAAACAAAGAAACAGAAACAACAGCCGAGACTGTGGCAAGTTTGGTCTTGGCATATAGGAAACTCCAGAAAGTTGGAATATGGTTTCAGGGTAGGATACCCTATAATTTACCATAGAAGGGTTAGGATAATCATATTCCAACTTTCTGGCTTTTACCGTAACCTAATGGGCCGAAGGTCTTCCTCGCAGACTCTCGGGGGTCTAGGCTTCAGGGGTTTGGGGTTCGACGCTCACACTCGCACAAGGCAGGCAAGGCTCCACATAGTCCAGAGGATCTCTACTGAAGACAGCATTACGCCATACTGAGCCCGGTTCCAACCCAAGGATCCGAAACGACCACTACAATACCCAGGGGTTTAGGGTTCAGGGGCCTCGGCTGCAACGGTTTAAGGTTGGGTTTGGTGTGGTGTTCAGGGTCTAGCGTTCATGTTCGTGAGCTTCCAGGGTTGGGCTTTTGGATGGTAGGCAAATCAGAATATTTTGTTTAAAAAAATGGCCAAAAGCTGTATTGCAAAAAATGCAGGTCCCCTAGAATTCGCAATTTTGCGGTGCAGCAAAGGGGACTGGGCTTTTAAGCAACCAGGGGAAAAAGTATAAACTTTTATTTCAAAATGGCTCCTTTAAGAAAAAGTATAACATTCTATTTCAAAATGGTTCCTTTAAGAAAAAAAGGTATTAAAGTATGGTGCTCCAACAGCCCAGGAGACAGGAAGTCAGGGATGCCGATGAGTTGGTTCCATCGCATGACGAGGCAGATGTCCAGCAGCTGACCTAGGCGGTTCAGTAACCCACTGGGAAGAAGTACGGTTGATGATATAAATCCTGCATGACCCATAATAAGGAATATACCGTATACCATACTTCCCATAGTTTAGAGTCCTTAAGGTAATGCAGGATTTATATCATCAACCGTATGTGCATTTTTAGGCTTTGTATTTTGTAATAGGCACTCAGAAACCTGAAAGTAAAAACGTGTACCACTAAACAGCCTGGTGACTGATGAGATACGCAATCTGCCCCACCAGGAAGATCTTACCTGCCGGGCTGCGGTTTAGGGTTAAGCGTCTACCCATAGGCTCCATAGTAATTCTTTTTTCTGGACTTTTCTATAGAATTCCGGAGCCTTGGGGTAGGGCTTGGGGTTTAAAGCTCTGCCATCGGAGTCAGGAGGCCTCAGAACCCAGGGCTCATACGGTTGATGATTTAAATCTTGCATTACCTTAAGGACCGTAAACTATGTTAATTATGGCATATTCCTTATTGTGGGTAATGCAGGATTTATATCATCAATCATCAACATCCACATGTTTTGGGGGCTTGTAGCCAGGGGTTTCTTGATCATCTGCTCAGATTCCTAGATAAGCCCCGGACTCACTTCTCAGGTCTGGATTCCTAAACCCGACGCCTGCCTCTCTGTATTCTCGCAGTCACTACTCCCTGCTTACGTAAAGCTGTGTTTGGGCGAAGCCCTGACAATTCAGAAGCACGCAGGCAGCGTTAGCGCACACTCACACGTGCCCTCAACCAGGGTAAAATGTTCGAGGCCTTGGGTTTCAGGCACCCGGGGTGTACACACGCATACCTGTATGCAATGAAAGACACAAGCAAAAAAATACCGACCTAGAATTGAATTGTGTACACATGTCAACGAGGCATCAAGAAAGCCCTTCGGCCTTGCGTGATGAATTCAGGAAACTAGAATTTACCTATAGTCTCCATTGTAAGTCCTTTTTGGTGTTACTTTATAGGATCCTAATCATATATTTGGTTAAACCAAAAAAGGAACTGCAATGGAGACTATAGGTAGATTGTATCATGTTCGGGTTCCACAAAAGTTTGCGGTCGAGGGGTCCGGGCCTTGAGAGTGAATATAGCGACTGGGTCCTGTTTCGGCTTGCTCAAACAAACCCAGCCATGTGCGCGAATTCGTCTATGTCTACGTACATGTTTATGTATGGCTGTGCGATGCTGTACGTATGTGTATGTATGTATGCATGCATGCAATTTTGCATGTCTGCCTGATTGTCTCTGGACCTGCACGTCTGCATCCGCATGCATGTATGTATGTATGTATGTGCGTATGTAGGCAGGTATGTAGGTACATCATCTTATGTCCGTATTGTGAGCCCCTGAACACCCACCCCGGCGCAGCATGCTGAGCCCTGCTGCTTGTGCAGCTCAGACACGGTAAGACCAATTCGTTATGAACGCTAAACCTAAACCTCGGAGCCCGAAAACGAACCATGCAACCCTAAACCCTGAAGCATGAAACCCTGCAGCCCTCAACCCTGTACTCCTCATATTATATTCTGAGGCTCCATAGTAGTTCCTTTGAGGGATGCCATATAGGACTTCATATATGAACCCCAAAAGGGAACTACTATGGAGCCCAAGGGTAAAGCACCGATTCCTGATTCTGAAAGTCGGAATTCCCAAAGTCCCAAAGGCTCCTTCGGCCTACCCCCACAAGCCCTAAAGTGCAGCTCAAGTGCGGTAAGACCAGTTTGTCATAAAGCTTCGATAACAAACCAATCCCAGGAGGAGGCCACCCTGGCCAAAGCCTGAGGGCTGAATAATATAGGGGCCTTAAGAATAGTTAGACTAGGGGTTCCTTTAAACATGTCTATAAGGGCTACTATAAGGGCTATTTTAAGGATTTTGTACGTATAGGGGCCTAAATATTTAGAACAGAGTTGTGGGGTCCACTGTACTATCATTATAATAAGGAACCACAGAATAGTATAGTTACTAAGGCCCCACATTATCAACAAGGATCGGGGGTTCAAAGTCCCGATCCCTTCTCTAAGCAAGTGAATCTTGAAATCCTCACACTGCAGCCAGGGGGGATTACAAAACCAGTGTCTACGGTGACACGAGTTACTAGCTTGAAAAGACCTCTCCCCTGAAGCTCTGATACTAGGTTGTTCGTGATACCAACTGTGGATACCCCGCTGAAAGTTACACTCGGTTTTGGTTCCTCTTGCAAGACCCATTATACATTACACTTCCTAGAATTAAACTGATGAGCCCCCAAAACAGTATAGGTAATCGTTGAGGCCCTCATATTATGCAATTCCACTTAGGCTTATTAAGCAGCTGGCCCAGGTGCGAAATTGAACACGCACGAGCGGCAAAACTTGCCCTTACTTACAGCACCTTCAAATGCCCCCCCCATATAAGCACGAAGAACTTCTTTGAGGCTCCAAACTTCAACATCAAAGCCTGCTTATGCTCTTAAACCTTCTGAAGCACTTACCCTCGCGACCCCGCGAAAACGAATAATTCTGTGCAACACTGAAGAATCCAAATCGCCCTGTCCTCCGTAACAGATGACAAACCTTGAGACTAGGCATGGCGCATCACTGTGTATTAAGCTACACGGTCTGCTTCGGTTTATGAGCTGTCTGACACCCTAAACGCTGAACAACCCTAAGCCGGAAGGGCAACAAGGGGTGCTTGCCTAGATGAGAAAGAGGTGATTAGGAGTATAGTATTCCGTAGGCTTCTTGAAATCAACATACTACAACTTAATGTAATATGCAACCGAAAAAAAGCGCGCCACAGATATTACGGCCCCTAAAATTTTACAACCCCTTGCAGTGACCCGGAGAGTGTAACCCTACTCTGATTAGTACAGCCCCGATCTCATCTAACACCTCCCTGGTGCGCTGATCCCTTAACCCAAAGCCCTAAACCCTGAACTCTAAACCCTAAGCTGCACTAAACCCTGAACCCTGAGCCCCAGATCCTCAAGCCGACCTCCAGAGTCCTATGCAGCTCCCTGAGTGCGTGTTCGGACCGAAGGGGCAATCGGTAACGCCCATGAGCTGCGCGCTCAGTTGGGGGCCCTCTGGGAAGCGTGTCAGCCACACGAACATCGCCTCGCCCAGCCCTGCAAGAAGAGTGTCGGAGGTCATTACCCTAAACCCTAAACCCTAATTCATAAGCTTTTCTTTATGACAAAAACTCCCACAAAAAGGTAACCTACATTGCATGGACCCTTAGGATCTTTTGGGCTTCTGGTTTAGGTTCTAGGGTGCTTGCGATGTCTGGCTTGGGGATTGAGGGTGTCAGGCCCATTTAGGTCTATAGTGTTACTTTAGGGTTTAGGGTTTAGGGGGGTGACCTTTGTGTGGAGTCGCAGGGAGCACCGCGGTTTGGGCCCATGTTGGGTCATCATGATGCCAAGAACTACGCTGCAATCTGGGGTTCGGGTTGCCCTAAGCCCGAAACTAAACCCTATACCGTAGACCCGAATATATAGGCCTCTGGGTTTTAAGGGGAGGGCTACCCAGCTCCTTGTATTACACAGTTAATATGCCCCCATACCCGCCCCAATACCCTATTCTATTCGTGAAGGTCCCTCTATTAGATCTTAGTGGGGCTTAGGTCAGGTCTTGGGGTCAGGGTATGTTTGTCATAGGATTTGGGGGTTCAGGGTCCATAACCTTTCGGGTTGAGGGTTAGGGGATGATGCTTTAAGAAAAGCACTCCGAAGGAACCCTTTGTCTAGACCCAAGAGTAACCTAGGAATAAAATGCCCTTTTTGGTTTAAAGGGGCTTATAAGGGAACCTGGATCCCTAAAAAAGGGAATAAGGGCCTACTCTAGGTCCTAGTTGTTATATAAGGGATGGTGAACTCTTGATACCCTTCCAAAGTGCCTGACAAAAAACCCGTGGAGCTCTCGAGATTTCGCCTGGCTGAAGGACCAGCCGCAAGAAAATGAAGAGCGCTGTCTGCCCGAAGTAAGGAGAGATCCCGGAAAGGACCTCCGGACGGGGTTCTTGGACTCATGACTTCGGGCTTCGGGCTGCGGTCGTGTAGGGCTCACGCTTGTAGGGTTTAGGGTTTGAAGTTCAGGAAAGTTAGGGTTTAGGGCTTACAGGGCTTATAAACGGTTCAAAGTTAGGCTTGTCTTATCGGGCTTCGATGCTTATCGAGCTTCACCAGGCCCAAACCTATGGCTAAAACGTTGTAATGCTGATAGAAAACCACAACAATCACCCTTATAAAGACTGTCGGCTGGGAGGTTTCACGTTTAGACATGTTAGACCCGATTCAAAGTTGATGACCAGACTTTGGGAGGTTCAGGCTTCGGGGACTCAGTAAATTTCGGGTTCAAAATCTTCTGGGCTATGGGGAATTTTCCGCGCTGAATTGGGTCTGGGTTTGAATGCTTATCCAAGGTCTCAGGATTTTCGGCGCTCATACTCGGACAATTCATCCGAGGTCTTGGTGCTTAGCCGGTTGGAGGTAAAAGTCACATGTCCCGACGTGCAGCCACGCAAAGATGATTAACCCTTTTGCCTAAACCCTAACGTTTTAAAACCCTAAACCCTCGAGGCCCTCTGACGCTTTGACGCTTAGAAACCCTTTTCCAGCAGGCTTCTCTCGCTCGGAACAGCTGTCGCCGCGAAGCAGTGCAGCACTCAACCCTGAATCCTTTTCATGATTTCACCAAACCCCGAACCCTGAACTCCAGATGGCATCTACATAATCGGCTCCGTGGTCGTCTAGGGGTCTGGGATTTAACGCCAACAACTCCCTCTGGTCTGAGGTCGTGATTGATGCGTGCCGTAAGCCTGGGAACGATGAATTTCGGCATTTGAGGTAAGCGGGATTGAGCCGGACGTCGTGTTGGGCTTGATGCGTTCTCTGCCGATGCTTCTGTGTTGCAGGTACATGTGGGAATTTCCGAAAATAGGGGACCCTAATATAGTATCCTAAGTAGTAGGATCCTTATAAGGACATCAAAATAAGGTACCCCTCAATATTCGGAAACTCCCTTGTCTCTAGTTGCTCGACCCTTGGTTTGCTTGCGTCTTTGTTTGCGTCGCTCTGCTTGACTGGTGGGCTTCTCTATGATCAAAAATATAATCACTTCCAGTTGGAGGGTGCAAGGATAGGATGTGGGACTGGCAAAGCTTGAGTCCGGGCGGTCCACACAATGCGCACTTCTGCACGGTAGGCTGTATGCTGGAACATGCTATTCTGATTGATTTGACATGCATTCTCTGTTGTCCAAAGGCCTGCAAACATTCAAACTCCACAGCCAAACCCACGAGAGCAGTGACCATGTCATAAACCTTATTCCGGCAGGTTCGCGAGACTCCATTGCAAGCCCTTGCGGGAAAGATGTGGGACGGAAGTCAGGGAGTCAGGCAGAACACGTATCTCAGGGTCTGCGCGGCCTTAACGACAGAGACGGCAACACCAACGGCACAGATGACGGTGATGGCTGCCTTCGGGCGTTTCAAGCCAGCTCACCAACACAGGACGTCGAAACCAGGCAAGAGCAAGTGAATGAAACCAAATAGCACATGAGCACTACATTACTAGGAAGAGAACAGCAGCTGTACACAACAGCTAATAGTGCAAGTGAAAAGTAATGAATACTCTCGATGGGCATGTGTCACTTGACAGGAGCAGTTGACCAGACAACAAGCGATTTCGATTTCGGCAACAAGCCCGCAATCACATGCAGCCCGCTGGATGGCACTTGGTAATGCGAAGGTGTTGTCCGCTACAGAAACCGAGTAGTAACAAGTCCTGTCGGTAACGGAACTCAACCAACTCTTGAAGCTGCGAAGTCTGAACATTGCAACCATAGTGGACCTCTGGGAAGCACGGATGCTTCGCTAAACATCGCGTAGTAGGGGTCTTGTCGTCGAGCAGGCCGCAAGAAAGGGACCAACAAAGGCTTAAACTCGCACACCCGCAGGTCTAAACCCGACGAGCCCCAAAAGCCTGAACCCTAAAACCCAAACCATGAAAACCCACAAGCAGCACAACGCCCCAAACCCTTAACTCAAGCTCTACACACGCGGCGGCCCGAAACCCCAGAAGCAACAAACACGGATCCGCGCTCTTGCCGTCAACGATAATCCCAATTTCAAGAATACCCTATGTATTGACCCAGATGATACCCAAAAACTCCAAGTGACTGCAGAACCAGCATGAACCATATGGGAGTTTCCGAAAACAGGGGATCCCAATATAGTACCCCCAAAAAAGTAGGATCCTCACTACACGGACCCCAAAATAAGGGCCCCCTAATTTTCGGAAACTCCCTTACGAAATCACAAAAAAATCTTGTTTTAGAACGACAAAGAAGGGGGCTCCAAGTACCAGTCGATGCGAAGAAACAGCTAAGTCTATGCACCCGAAGACGCTACGTTGACAATGGCAGTACCTACTTTGAGATGCAACGTCCATGAATGGTGCATACCCAGAGGCTCCATAGTAGTTCCTTTTTGAACTACCATGGAGCTTAGGGTGCTTTCGGCTCCGACGATTTTGGCTTTTTTGCGTAGCTTGGCACAAAGCCTTTGAAGGGACTTTTATGCTTTGCTGTTCCGGCACCGGAACCGAAGCTCTACGTAGCGGTACCTGTAGGAAGCATGAATACTTGCTTATTATGGTCATTGGTTTCGGTAGCTATACCACCATAGACCTCAAAATCTGGTTTCAATCGTTTATGGCCCTTGGCACTATCGTGGGCATGCTTGCAACCATTCTTGGGAGCTGTGCCCAAAGGTCATCTAAATTGGCGGAAACCGAAAACCCTATCACATCTGTGCGGGTAGGGTTGTATATACTCCCAGAAGGGCTATAATAGGTTACCGGTATCACTTCAGTCTCGGCCTTTCGGACATTTTCGCATTTCGCGTTTTCTAGGGTTTTGAGAGGCCCCCCAACCCCCAACCCCCCCAACCACCCCCAGCCAGGCCAAGGGGCCCGGACTCGGACATCCTCGACGAAGAGCTGCAGCAAAGAGAGGCCCATGGCCGTCGCAGATAACAGCACCGCTACCTTGTCGAGACTTCGGGGTTTAGGGGTTTGGGTTTTTTTGGGGTTTAGGGTTTGGGGGGTTTAGGGGGGAAGGGTTTGGGGGGTTTAGGGTTTAGGGTTTGGGGGTTTAGGGGGTTTAGGGGGTTTAGGGTTTAGGGTTTGGGGTTGGGGTTTAGTACGAAGAGGAAGACCGGAACAAGCTCACAATGATTGACGGCACTCTAGCCACCTGGTCCGTGGCTAAACACTCGAAGTCCAGAGGCCCCGCCCAAAGCCGTAGGCCTGAAACAACTGGAATGATGTATGTTCTTTAGTTGCCGAAAAAGTTATATGGAAGTGGGCCAACACGTCTCAGTCTTCTCCACAAAAGTGGAGCCCTACACCACCCTGGACCCTTTGCCCTTAACACTAAACCCTAGAAGTTCCCAGACCTCCCAAAAATCCCTTAATTAAAGAATATACCGTAAGTCATGCTATGGATCCTACTCTAAATTACGGTATATGGGAGTTTCCGAAAATTAGGGGTACCTTATCTAAGGGTTCTCATAATAAGGATCCTACTATTTAGGGTAGTATACTGGGGTCCCCTATATTCGGAAACTCCCAAATTGGTATATTCCTGAATTAAGGATCCTACTCTAAGTATATTCCTGAATTAAGGATCCTACTCTAATTTACGGTATATTCCTTAAGGGATATCGGAGTCGACCCTGCAAACTGCTCTCGCGCACTTGCTGGAAGCTGCTGTCGACATTGGAAGGTCCGGGTTCCCAGAGAGCACAATACTCCTTAAATTAAGGAATACCTAGGGTTCCTTTAGGGGCTCCTTAAAGGGATCTATAAGGGTTCTATAAGGGTATGAAGGAATATAGCTTGAATCATAATATGAATCCCCTGATAATTTAAGGTATATTCCTTAATTGAGGGGTATAGGGTTCTCTGTGTTCTAGGCCCGAAGCCAAGCGGCAAGCGAAATCAGCGGGTGTTTCCGGAACTCACTCCTCGGAGCAGGCTTCTCAGCTGGACTTCATGGTTGTCCGTCTTAGTTTGGGTTGTGCCCCAAAATTCTACCAGCCCAAAACCACAAATCAAGTATAGGAGGCAGCCATAAGCATCACCCCCTCCAAATGCTTGCTTTCTTGTTCGAGAATTCCAAGAACGGCTACAGGAAACACTCATGCAAAGCCTTAGAGCGAAACCCTCAAACCCCGAACCCTGAACCGAAGCCCAGTTGGGATGTTGTTGGTCTTTCCAGGATGTGGGAGATTTCAAGTTTCGGTGATCCTCAGACAGGAAACTCACATGATGTGACCACATCTACAGATATGTCAGATCAGATATGCAGATGTATCCATTTCTACATTTAGATATATCTTTCTGTGTCTTTCCGTGCCTCTATCTCGACTTCTATCTCCGTCTCCAAACCCATACTTCTACCTGTATCTCAATCGCAACCGCAATCTCCGCCTGCAGCTCTATCTATATCTTTCTATGTCTGTATGTATGCATGTATGGTATATATATATATATATATATATATATATATACATATATATACATATATATGTATATATATATATACATACATTTATGACTCCAACTCTGAATGTATTTGTGTATGTGTGTATGCATGCTTGCATGCCTGCATGCTTGCATGCCTGCTTGTTTGCATGTGTATGTATGTATGTTTGCTGTTCTATTGACAAGTGTAAACCTCCTAAACTATGTTGAATACACACCGTGAGTGTTGGAACTATCACACTTGCTAGTCTACGTCTCTTCTCGTTGGCCCGTCTTTGTCGATGAATGTGTTCCTGCTCCGAGATAGCAGTAGCAGGAACGGCAGGAAAGGACACGAACTATAAACCCTTATAGTCACTTGTAGTAACCCTTAAAGGAACAAAACGGGGGACCCTGGGCGTGCACTTTCAAGGAGTTTTAGCGCTAGCTTCAGCATCATTTACGCAATACTTAATGAGAGAGGTACGCTCCCTGCAATAACGGAGTTTTGCTGCAGATGACACCTCGAAAGAACCAAAAAAGACCTAGACACCAAATAACAATCAAAAAACAAAAAAATAACCAAAAAAACAAAAGAACCAAAAAAAACAAAAAAACCAAAAAAAACAATTGCCAGAGACTCCTGGACTGAAATTTCCACGGCCGGAGAGTGTCGGATGTTTTGTTCTTTTGGTTTTTTGTTGGTTCTTTTGTTTTTTTTTGATTTTTGTTGGTTCTTTGGGTTTTTTTGGGTTCTTTTGTTGGAAGTGGCTGCCAACCCAAAAAAACATCAAAATACGCGCGCACCCAGGGTCAGTGGCACACATTGGGGGGCAATGCACTCTCACGGCAAGGCTTGTAGACAATGCACATGTATATGTGTGAGTACTGCAGTTGGTCTAGTTTAAAGCTGTTACATTGTCACTCTTGTAATTAGGCTTATCGGCGTCTGCGGGATACAGCGACCAATCATTTGTTGAGCTCCGTTTGTTTTAGAGTAACTACTATTTTTACTGTTAATACGGTGCCCATTAAATGTCTCTGAAATATGCAGGTCGATATTGATTCGCCGATATTTTGTGTTTTTTTGCAGGAAAAACCCCAGATGAAGTGTATAGTACTGGTGATCATATTGTCGTAAATTACTACAGTGACTTAATCTTATTACAATCTCACATAGGCTCTTCACAGCATACTAGAAAACCTGGATGTGCATAGATACATGTGCGTGTGAAATATGTATGTATGCATATATATATATATATATATATATGTATATAGGTACACATACGTCAATGTGTATGAGTACCCATTTTTGAGATGTATGTGTAAACTGTGCGGATGTATACATAGAATACAAGTACTGTCGTATTTCGTATGCTAAACGTTCTTTTACTTCGTAAGTAAAGTTGAAGGCATAATCAGCTAATCAGGCTCACTTCATTTGCTTGCACAGTTACTGATTTGTTTATCACCACGTTACTGTATAGGCAACCTATTTACCAGTTTCAAGTACTGCAATTGGATACCACTAGAAGTTTCATCTTTAACTTCATACTCGTTGTTACAACACTGGTTTGGTATTGTCGGTCTTAAGAGTCTTGAACATGTCTTATTTTGTTGTGTCTAACTGTCTACATGAAGTCGATCACTTGGACCACCGGTGCACATCTATACAACACACTGGCCAACAAACCTAAGCTTAAAAAAGCGCATTATGTTTGTAGGATCATTCATATTTACATTTTCTGCTATAGGATTTGTACATTGATTTACATGTTCAGCCTGTCCACATGTAACATGCCTTCTAGATTTCGATTACTCTTCTGAACATGACCATAGCTAAAGTATGACAAGTACATGTATTTGCCACCTTACAATAGACTTCTTGCTGGTAACCTATAGAACATCGGCTTAGTGTGGATTGAAAAGTAACGTGTATCTAGTGCTATTACTGTCTGTATTTGGGTTGAATGTTCGGTTACCATCTTAAACACGTACCGACAAGAGCAATGCAAAGGGCATGGTTAGTATTAATAACACGAAGATGAGCAAACAAATTAGCATTTACAGATCAAGAAGTCTGTACTACATCTACAAGCATGCTCCGCGCACAGATACGTGTATACATCTATGTATGTGCATTGAAAGGTCAGAATTTGTCAACCAATGTAAGGCACTGTATATACAAAGTATATATGTATGCAAATATATTTACATATAATTATAAATACATATATATGTATATGCATATATACATAAACATGCCGAGCTCTCTACCATGCACTATTTCACACATACATGTATATATATATATATATATATATATATATATATCCATCCGTCTTTGTATGTAGAGATATCTATATATAGACATATGCATATATATATATATATATATATATTTATTTATTTATTTATCCGTACACATATACTCTTCATATATATATATATAACTTATGTTCATATACAAATACACATATATGTGATTGCAACTTTTGACACATTTGGAAGTAATACAATAGAACAGAATACTAGTATCCATGCTTATGTGTCCTCAGCCCGATAAAACTAACGAAGCAAATCATATGATGCAAACAGTATGTACTGAGGTCCAAACTTGTTATAATGCAAAACACAAATAACAGTATTGGTACTAGATATTTCCGTTAGCTCGAGTCGGGAAGATCAGCAACTAGGGCCGTGTCTCTGGTCGCTTGACCTTTAGACTGGACATATGACCAGCAAACCAACTAGCCATAACATGAATGCGGGCACGAGTGGGTCTCTGATGGATTCTATAAAGCAATATATGTGCTTGTACCATCACAATTCTAGCATAAAGCAAGCTAGCAACAAATACAGAATCAAACAACTTCAAAAAAGCGCACGCCCATAGTCCCCCGGACTCTAAAGGAACCCTTATAAGGAACCCTAAGGAATAATATCAACAGTTATTTAGGCTCCTATAATAAACCAAGCGGCAAGTTCGCTGTGCATGGTGGGCCGGACAAGCGCTCTTCCGGCAGCCACCCGAGAAAGGCGGGCACAAGGACACTGACCTTAAATAGGAGCGGAATTGTTGGAGGACTCTATTCGTGGGCGTTACCAAGACAATGCGGTGGCCACCCGCGGCGCGAATCCTGTGCCCGGTGGCTGCATATAATTAGATGGACCAAGACTTAGCCTCCGTTGGGCTTGGTGACTTGTCGCCAAGCTTGCGGTTGCGGAGAGGGGTCTAGGGAACACAGGCTGGGTGTTGAGGTTCTCGCAGTCCTTCGCGAGGCTTGCTTCAGAGCTTCTGTTGCAATGGTTCGGACCCATAATTATTTGAAGTCTGCTTTGTAGTACAAAAGCTTAAACATGTTATCACAGTTTGAGGGTGTAGGGCACCTACTTTGAGGAGTATATCATTTGGCACTTGAGGTCGGTGGAGGGTGTAACCACTTCCCATGTAGTCATTAAACATTCCCCTTATAACCAAAATACTTTCAGGAAAATGCATCTGACACCAACCATCAACCCCACGTTCTCAAACCATATCGGATTGGGTGGGGTACAACAGACAGAGCAGGAGCAGGAGAAACACCCGAGGTAAATTCGAGAGCAGAAGCCAGCGCGGGAGCAAGAACAGGAGAAAGAGCAAGAGCAAGAGCAGCAAAACGCTGCATCTTGAATCCAACCGACAAGTTCATTCGAGCTAACCATGTTTCGTAGGTGTTGCAACAGTATAACGGAAAGACCACGATTAGTGGCACGGGTCCTTGGTTTGATACTAGTCACGAGGAACTACCGCGGAAGCCCAAAAGTTGGAAACCCAATAGCCTCAGCCCTTAAGAGTAGTACATAGGGAATCCCAGCACTATTTGGCCTTAATCCGGTTTCCAACTTTATGGGGTTTGCTGTATTTCTGTCAACAGCAGGCTCTTGCCTGAGGGAATCGCGAACCCCAAAACCCCGAAAGAACACGCTAGCCTACGTACGCATCTGAATCCCGAAGCTTTGATGCTAGCTGCTTATCCCCTGCTTTTTCGGGATGCATCCTGGCACTCAAAAGCACTGAAAATTCGCAGGGCCATATGGGGGGATTCCGAAAACAGGGGACTCTTTCATAGTGATCTGAGTAGTAGGATCCTTGTTGTAAGGACCCCAAAATAAGGTAACCCTAATTTTCGCAAACTCCCATATAGGATATAACATAGGAAGTCTCTCTGGGGCAAACGATACTCCAAGCCCGAATGACCGAACACCTGAACCCTCAAACCCTAAACTCCCAACTCAGAAAACCCTGGACAATGGAGCTGCAAGCAAGCCCGTCCAATGAACATAGGGTTCTGGGTTTAGACTTAAAATGCAGCATCGCCACCGCGGAGAGCGTGTTGACCAGCGCAACTCCCTGACACGAGTCTGCCAGTTCTTGGTTTTGGTTTTGGTGGGGCTTCCTGTGGTTCCAATTTAACAAATACCTTAACCCCACGCAACCTACCTTTTTAAGGACTTATATAAAGAAATCATATTAGGGAACCCTAAAAAAAGTAGGTTCCTTAGGGTCCAGGTAATTATCAAGGTTTGCAACCGCAGGCCCTATATCGAAGGGCTCAGGCTAACGGGTTCAAAACCTGCCTCTTTTGCATGGTTTGTCCAAGCAACAAAGTACCCAATACCTTAGGAGCTGCCCCCACCCTGTAATAGTGGTATAATAGGAGTATAATAGGACCCTAATATAATCCTATATAATCCTTATGGTCACTATTACAGGGTGGGGGCAGCTTCTAACCAATACCCAACTACTACGGGACCATGAACCTTCGAGTAGACCAAAATCAGACCTCCCTACCTGACCTGGGTTCCGAGTTTCGGCGCTCACACTCGGACAATCCAGCCTTATCCCTCCAGGGACCTCATAGTTAGGGCCCTAGAAGGACCCCCTAATAAGGTCCACGGAGGCATAGGGCAGGCGAGAGGTTTCGAGTTTAGGGTTGTCGCACCTCCTCTTCACGAGCAGCACAGCCCCATGGCCGTGCGAGAGCACCCTCCCGCATGAAGGCTGAAGCTAAACTCACTGGCCCAAAACCCAAGGGAATAAAGGTTGACACTTTCAGCATTGACTACCTTACTAGAACCCGCAAAGTTGAAAAGTTGAGCTTACCGCCAATGAGAAACTTGAAAGCTCAAGAATCGAACCCGGCCGAATAAAGCCGCCTGAACCCCTAAACCCTAAACCCTTTTTTGCAGCAGGCCTCGTTGTCCAGCAGCCCGGTTACAGCAACAGCCCCCTAAACCCTAAACCGTCCAAGCTGCCGGACTAAAGACCCGGCTTAAACCATCAGCCCAAAGGGTCCAATGTACTGTTATGGGGAATACTTCCTTCCCCCAAACCATAATAGTAATTCCTAATATAGAAACCCTACATTCTACTACATCGGTACTTTGGACTCTTTTGGGCAGTTGCTCTAGCCCTGAAGAATCCCGCGTAGCTCGGGGTCTAAGGCTTGGGGCTATGGTTACTGCGGAATAAGTGTAGCCCCAACGAAATCCCAACTGGAATGAATTTCGCATGCCTATGAAAAGCTTTATAGGATTATAGGATGCCGGAAGTTCGTCATAACAAGTGCCCACAGCTCTGCGCGGCATTCAGAAAGACTCATGTCTTCAAGGGCATAGGCCGGTGAAGACTGTTGCTATTTTCCGGCAACAATCTACCATGCACCTGCGGAGAGACGAGTTCCACCAGCCATCCTTTGACGGCTCCAGCAGTAATGCCACCGGTGGCTTCAGCAGAGCGCAATGCACACTGCAGGTCCTTAGTTGCGCTGAAGGACACGATTTGATCGCCTTGCGAAGGAGCAAGGCTCTAAAAACCTAACCAAGGAATCTTTATGAACCGCAATTCCCTGAGCCCGTACAAGAACCCAGAGACTCCAACATCATGACTTAAGGGATATATACCATAAATCATAGTAAGATCCCAAATATGATTTAAGGTACATTCCCTACTTAAGGGATATTGGAGTTTCTGGGAAGTCAAGTAGCCAAAAAACGCCTTCCGACACGAATCCTCAATCCTAAACCCTAAACCCACGTTGCAGGGCCAGGTCTCCGACGCATGGGCTGAGTGCTCTTTCCCGAGGCGTGCGGCAGTGGCGTCGATGACCAAATCCTATTTGAGCACATTATAAAACCATGTACGGGGCCAGTTAGGATGTATCAGCAGTATGAATATAGTTTTCAGTCTATGTAGTTTGAGAACTTAAACTTGTGTTGTCTCTCCTGCAGGTCTCAAAAGCCAATTTCGCGGGGTCGAGTATATGTTGGTGTTCTGTTGACAGACTCAAATGGAAAAAGAAAAGATACCCCCACCAAATCCTCAACTCCATACCCTTGAATCGAATCGAAAAGGGGCTTTATAGGCTGTTGTGACGGTTTGAGGAGGGTTTTTGTAAGGGCTCTCAGGGCTTTGAAGAGCTAGATGTGAGTTGCGATCATGATCTTCGACCCCCCAAGTACCCTCTTATATATATACCCCAAATACCCACTATTCAGGACCATAAGGGCTCCATTAAAGGGCCCTTTAAAAAGGGGGGGGGTCCTGGATGAAGCCCCTTTGAGTTGCGAGAGAGCCGAGCAGCCGAAAAGGCGAGTCCGAAATTCACGGCCGACATGAAGAGAACCAGGCCGGAGGTTCCTAGGGGTTTAGGGCTTTCCGTAAAGGGATCTATAAGGGGTTCCTTTAAAGGGATCCATAAGGGCTCTATAGGGTTTAGGGGTTTAGAGTTGAGGTTCCTAGGGTTTTAGGGTTGAGGGGTTTAGGGCTTAGGGTTTAAGTGTTTAGAGTTTTGGGGTTTAGGGTTTATGGTTTAGGGTCTAGGGCTTATAGGGTTTAGGGCTTGAGTTTTGGGCCTTGGTTTAGGCCTTATGGTTGTAAATTTTCCCTCCTACCAAGGCTTCGGGTTGAGGGCTTTGGAGGCTCAAGGGTTCTACTCGGGCAGAGTGGAGGCGAGCCCTGAACCCGACCCGTGGACCTGTGGATCCGATACCCTACTTCTTTAAGGGTGAGACCTCATACGGCTGATGATATAAATCCTGCATTACCTTAAGAACCCTAAACTATGGGAATTATGGCATATTCCTCATTATGGTTAATGCAGGTTTGATATCATCAACCGTAGGTATGGGACATACCCTAGCATTTTTGTGGAGTTTGGAGGTCCCTTGCTTAGCTACTCAATGCTCGTGGTCAGAGAAGTCGACAAAACTAGGGTAACCGATGCTTGTCTCAGGAGCATGGAAGCTTGGCAGAACCGTAGCAGGAGCGGGCTGCACCAACATGGAAACTAGGCCGAAGAAATGAAATTAAACTGAGATGCCTTCCAAGAGCCCATTCAAGCTCCAACAGACATTCAAACAACAACTACCTTTAGTGACCCCAATGGGGTCCTCAACATAGAAACATGCTCGATCCCTCTTCAAAGCTTGTGGGCATTTAGGCCCCCTGATTATGGGAAATAAGGTAACTCGACAGAGCTTGAAAAAGGAGCTATATTTTTGTCGGCTTGAAATGCACCGTAGGGCCTGAAACCTTGACGGCCCTGGCCCGTGAGAGAGCGGTTTGGGCGCCCGGGAGGGGGAAAAGGTGGCGGGCGGGGCCCTGCCGAGGCAATGAGCACGTGCTTGCCCAGAGATCTTAGGATTGCAAATCTGCGAAACCTCAATTTGAGTACATCATTTTGACAAACCGCATTTCGCTCAAGGGAAACCCTAAACTTTACAAACCCTAGACTAAAACTTCAAAACCCTAAACTCTAAACCCTAAACTCGAAATTAAACCCTAAGCAGCAAACTCCTAAGGCTTGAAACCCTAAACTCCTTAATTGCCGACCCTAGCTTCCGAGCGTGACACAGCCGAACCAAAGGTAGGCCAGCAAGCTGAAAATGCAGGCGATGACCAAATACCTGGGACAGTTTAGGGTTTTAGGGTTATGAGAGTCGAAATGGTTAGAAGAGAGTTTTGGGGTAGATTACAGTGTAGCTATGTTAGTTTATAAGGGCCGAAATGATTAGAATAGAGTTCAGGGCGGATTACAGCATAGTTGCTCTAATTTAAGAAACCCGAAGGAGTAGTTCAGGCCCCTACTACCTTAACGAACATAAGCCCCTTCGGAGAGTCGCCACATGCAAGCCTGTATAGTAGGGTTTGGTCGTCCAAGCCAGATATTCAGCTTAGTTTAGGCTGCTTTTTTCAATCCAAACCACTCAAAGTTCGGAGTCTGAGGGTTTTTGTGTTTCGGGGCTCTGGGGTTGGCACTTTGGGTTTACGGCCTTGGGATTGAGCGTCAACTGGCGCTGGTCATTGTGAAAAAGCTGATATGCCTGGAAACGATCATTCTGGCTCCATTGCGGTACAACCTGGGTGTCTACATACCTAGCACTCACATACCCCGCCCAAACACTAGCATACGTGGGAACCTCAGACCCTTCGAGAACCTCGAGAGACCCTTCCTGAAGGATGGACAGAAAAAAAAGAACAGTAAAACCCTTCAGGTACTATAAAGGCCTAAATTGTTAGAACGGTGGTTTGAGGTATATTACTATACCGTCATAATCAGAACCTTCGAGTTCACGAAGCCGAAATGCGACGTCTTGTGGAAGCCCAACAGCGGAACCGTGTCAGAGAGAATGCCCAGAACTGGCTTCCTGAGCTGACTCCAAGGGTTGTCTTTTTATGGCTTGGGGTAAAGGGGTTTAGGCTTTAGGGCTTCCTGAGCTGACTCCAAAGATTGTCCTTTTACGGCTTGGGGTACGGCAATGCAGGATTTATATCATCAACCGAAGGACTCGATTAAACGGGACTTCTGTGGTCCTGGTAGGGTCTTTGGGCCTCCGGAAGCTTCCACTGCATGGCAGTGGCCTTAACCAGCGGAATACATTTTCTTTTTTTGTTGGGGGGGGTTCCGGGTATACTTTAGTATAACTCAGTATAACTGAATCTGGACAATAAGGGGACAGAGTATAACTGCTGGAAAAAATTATTGCCTCTCAAACCCAACACCTCGAAACCCTTTATGACACCATGACGTGCAATCATCTTACCGAAATCAAAAACAAATCTTGACATCTTGAAGATCCAGTCCGAAATCCCTACCGGGATTTTCTGAAACCGGTTTCTCGCTCGTTGCTCTCCGCAGCCGTAGGCTCCGCATGCACCTAATTAGAAAAAACCCTGAAACCGGTTTCGGCGCTCACACTCGGACAATCCAGGCGAGGCATATGGTTCGGAGTCTGCTGAGTGAGACGACTCTAAGGGAGCTGTTGACTAACCGGTTTAGGGTATGGGGACATCAACCCAATGACGAAAGCACAAGCGCGACATTTCAAAACCCCAGTCCTTAGATTACCTTCCCTACCCTGAACCCTGATCTCTATTTTGCGATTGCGAACCCTACACCACCTAGACATCCCTAGATACAACCCAGCAGAGGTTCACATTCCAGGGAACGTGCGCGACGGTCAGAAACCTTCACGGAACACAGAAGTCTTACCTGGGGATCTAATAATGTCCTGTTTTAAGGGGTATTGTACCCTGTAATCACGGGGTCATAACCCACTGTAATTTTGAAGTTTGGGGCGCAGGCAGTCATCGGAATTATGTTGGGTTGCATTGCATAGTGTATCTGCATTGTCTGCAATCGCTCCGACCCCAAAACGAGGTGGCTGCCGGCCAACTGTATCATGAAAAGGCTGAGAGGGTATCCAAGGGTAAAAGGAGGGACCCCTAATAAGGACCCCCAGGTATATACCCTTAATGTAGCTAGTATATTCCACTGTATAGCCCCATTATAGGGTAAGGGTCCCTCCTTTTCCACTTTGAAGGGTAGGAATCCTCTAGCCCCCGGCGGCGCTGCACGAGCCTGCGAAGGTAGCAAGCGACAGGGCCCATCCCATGAGACCCACCATGGACATAGGGGCGGTTGCTGAGAGTACGCCGGCCATACTTGCAATTGCAGCTGCAGGGCCTTCATAATCAAAGTAGGGTTTGGGGGTTATACTATACAAGAAATTCAATAAAGAACCCCAAAAGCCTATTCTAATTTCCAACTAGTAAGGCTCCGGCCCTTATAGACCCCTTTAAAGGAACCTTTTACAGGAACCCTATTCTAATTACTAAGGCCCCTGTATTACTTCCAGAGCGGATCTCCTTCCAAGAACGTCTCAGTACTGGGGCCGGGTTAGTGAACTACTTGGAGGCTCATGGGTAGTTATAAGTGGGGTTACAAGTCCCCTCATAGGGATTATAACCATAGTGACCCTGATTAAAAGCCCACTTATAACTACCCATGAACCTCCATGTAGACCCTAAACCCTATACCCTTATAGAATCCCTATAGATCCCTTTAAAGGGACCCTTCAAGGAAGCCTTATAACTAACCATGAACCTCTAAGTACTCCCCGGACACCAACCACTCCAACCCTGAGTCCCCCCAGTCCAAGACCGTTCCTAGACGCAAGGTTAACCAAGGAATAAAAAGGGTTGGTTTAAAGGGGTTTTCTTAGGCCTTAAAGTACCTATGTAGGGACCCCTTTAAGGCTTAAGTGTCGACAGTAAACTAGACCCAAGGTTAACCAAGGAATAAAAAGGGTGCCCTTTTTGGTTTAAAGGGGTTTTAAAGGGAACCTGAACCCTGAAAAAGGGGAATAAGGGCCTACTCTAGGTCCTAGGTTCAGAGTTGCTGGCCTCCCCATGGTGGCACCGTCAAGCTTCAGCGTGTCCATCCTCATGTTGGGCATGCAAGGCTCGACTGAACCGATTCCGACATCCTTCACATGTAAGATGCTGGAAAATTTGCGTACGGGCTGCAATTCGGATGGAAAGAAGTGGAACGAAGCAAGCATACTCAGTGAAAGCAGTGTCGCAAGTGCCAACAAGGCCGAGCGGCATGTAGTACTTGTATGAGAACTCCTTGGTTGAAGTCGTTCGGGTAAACCCACCTACACCCTAAAGCCTCTCTCGTTCTCACGCAGAAACTCAAAAACCTGAAACCCTTGAACCTAAGCGACTAAAGCAGCAACACACACACACACACAACCCTTGAAGCGCCAGAACCTAGACCCCGGGAATGTAGACCCCGTCACAGAAAAAAAACACGCGTTTGACATGCGGGATCTTCGAAAGCCCCTCCTTGAACTCCCAACAATATCTGAGCACGGTTTTGGAGGGGGTGCAGCGTGCTGCCGTCATGCCACCAACATCCATGGGTAGCATGATGAGGGAGACCCCTTAAAGGGTAGCCCTTCCGAACCCTACTCCTGGCTCTCTTAAAAGGGACCTTATTGAAAGGGTCTATATCCCCGAGGGTCCCCCTAATCCTAACTCACGATCCAAGACTCTTAGACTGAGCCCGACCACTTGCTAGTCGGAAGAGGAAATGAAAGGAGGCAGTGGGACTTGGGACTTCGAAGTGTTAAGGCGATCGGGAGTTTGGTGTGTTGGGGCAAATCGGGGTGACGAAGTTTATGCTTATAGGAGCCTATCACAAAATCAGGGCAACCAAATAAGGATGTGCACTGGAGGCTGTAGGTAGGGTAGTCACTGCCTCTCTTCGTGTTGGGGTTACGGAATATATCTTCTGTCACAGCAAGAAGTTATCTTTAATCACAGCAAGAACTCACATATCGTTTGGGCTATAACAAAGAAAAAATCCGTCACTCAGGGGTCCTGGACTCTGTGGGTTCAAACAATCAGACCTAAGTAGCAGTAGGACAACATGGCGCCTTGGACGGCTGCTGCTATTTGACATTTAAGCAAAAAAACAGCAGTGCTTGAGCCATCAGCTGACTAAATCTCAGCACCCTGCGTGCTGACCTCATTCTTGAGGACGAAGCCAACAAGCTTGTACGCAAAGCCGCAACAGGCGCGACATAAACCCACTAACCCTACCACCCTACATCCCTCCAAGCCAACAACCCTGAAAACACTAATCCAAAAACAAAAATCCGAAACAACCGCAAATGTCGACCCCGAGACCGTAAACCCGAAAGCACGAAACGCCGGAAAAGAACACACTTTGTGTCATGGTAAGAAGCCCCATACCATATATAGTCTCCATTGTAGTTCTTTTTTAACCAAATATATAATTAGGATCCTATAAAGTAACCCCAGAAAAGGAACTACAATCGAAACTATAGGTACAACTTGAGGTCGATGCCTCTTTGTTAAAGGCTATGGGGCTCTCAAGGTAGCTTGAGTCCACGGCTCCCCGATGCCCCTGGCGAAGTACTGCTGCACTCCATAGGACAACATCCCCAAGGGTGCAAAGTAGCCGTACCTTCGTGCAAGAAGAACAGGGCGTGCGGTCGTCGGGTCACAGTTTGGGACAGAAAGCTCCAGAGATCAGTGCATCACCCTATTATAAGTGTCAGAGAGTGTTGAGTTGAGGGCATCAGGGCTTGATGACTTCAGGGTTTGGGGTTGGGGGTCGCTTCATGCGGACCCAAACCAGTGCTGTAAGGCTGAAACTGAAAATGTGTGAATATATGTGTATAGAGCCCTAAGCGTGGGTTACGGAGTAGGAGATAGAGTCGAAACAACCGCAAGGAGAAGCAAGGGACGAACCGAATAGTACACGTCACACTCTGTAGCAATGGACCGAACGAGCAATGGTGGTGGTGGTGTTGGTGGCCTCGACGATTGTACAGTTCAATACTTCACGCGACCAAGTCTGCGAGCCCAACCCTGGTGGGAGGACCCAAGATGCAACGGACAGATGCGACATGACCCCGGGATGGTATTGACTGCAACTCAAGCCCCGCTGAACGTCCCAACCCTAATTGAGTTTTTTCGGCCCCGATCAGCTCAAAAGTTAGGCCAATTGTAGTGCCCTGCAAAGCAAGGGGAATCATGGCATCTCACGGTGAGGTCTCGGGTGCCAGTCGTTCGCAAACCCCCAAAACCCTAAACCCTCCACCCCAAACCGCAAGCCCTCAAGCCTAAGCCTTCTCAGAGGCTCCATAGTAGTTCCTTTTTGGGGATAGCTTTTAGAATTCTATATATGAACACCAAAAAGGAACTACTATGGAGCCTAAGCCCTGTTGCGAGTCTCTATGCATTGCGAGCGGCAATCTCCAAAGAAGCCGAAACCAGCTCAGCAGAGGAAGGCGACACCCACCTTTCAATTTAAGATAGGACCCTTCAAAATCCTAAACTCCTAAACCCCTTTATTTTGCACGGACTTGGAGTGTAACCCCTAAACCCCTAAGCCCTAAACCCTGAACCCCTCTCGAATAGGGTTTTGGTTATAGTCAACTATACCCAGAATAAGGAGCCCTAAAAACTACGAAGCATCATTCAGGCTCCAGTTTCCCTTGTGGGAGTTTGGCAAAGAGTTCTTTTCCTTTCATCAAAGGCCGGAGAATCCTCGAGACAAGGGAGCTTGGGGCGTTAGGGTCGGAAAGAAGAAGTCAGAATAGGGTTTAGGGTTTAGGGTATCAGACATATTCCTACAGTCCCCGGTCCTGATATAGTCATGACAATCCAACTCTCAACCCGAACCCGACATCAAGCACCGCTGTCACACAATACCCCACAAACATGTCAGTCTAATGAAGCCACCTATATTCGATTTCAACTTTACCCACAGATCCTTGACCTTACAGGTTTGGGTATTGAGAGTTTAGGATGGCTTACTTACCTTTGGTTCGTAGGGAATGGAAGGCTGGCAATAAGAGTAGTTACAATTATACCCCATTCCTGCATTTCCTACGAACCGAAAGTAAGTTTAGGGTCTAGGGGATCTAGGTCTGGGGAGCCAGCTCACACACTCGGACATGCCCGGTAAGGTCCAGGAGCCAACAGCCACTCGATCGCCAGTTTCAGGTTCCCGGCAAGATTTCGGCTTTCTTGACTGCCATCACCAATGGCTTCTGCTCCATCCAGTCACGGAGTGCATAGTTGTTAAGTTGTAGTTGAGAAACTCCTGCATCAGTCCCGATGATCCTGCCCGGTCCCGACGATGTTAGTCACTGTTAGTCTTCGTCTGATAACCTTGCACCCATTTCATGCCATGTTCAGCGGGCTATTGTAGTTCGCAGAATGATTTTCCACAACATGTTGGTCAAGGTGGCTGAATGACAGAATCGTTCTGGGTTAGAGGGATTCTGAAGCTGGAGCTCATCCAGGCAAGGGTTTAGGGGTGCAGAGTTTGCGGTTTGAGGCAACGGTCCTCGCAAAGTATTTGCAACACTATCGCCTCGACGGTAAGTCCGCAACTCCTTCTACACCAACAGCTACACAGATCGCACGCAGCTTTTCCCCTGTATGCTGCCGGTAAGCCTGAGCCTGACGTGTACATGGACAGGGATTTTAAGGCTTAAGGTGCCGAAGCTCTGCGACAGATCAGTCTAGTAGACCTATGCTAGCCAAAGCCTGAGGACGTTAGCTTGGGTACTGCCCAGAGACTCTACTATCCCTCGATTAAGGAATATACTTTAAATTAGGATCCCTAATATGATTTATGATAAATGCCCTGATTAAGGGATATTGGAGTCTCTGGGTGCCCCCACCCTGTAACAGTCCTACCCTAAGGGTCATAATAAGGACTGTACATGGTCATGTCGCAAGCCTTATCCAACTGTTACAGAGTGGGGACAGTACCCAAGTTTTCGCCGTGTAACCCAAACCTCCGACATCCCAAACGCTATTGGGCCCTGAAAAACCCCAAAACCTCAAGCCCCTAAACCCCAAAGCCCTAACAGACAGTTGCTATTTACCCAAGATCAGGAGGGTTCTCTCTGTCTTACACCCTTAAACCCAACACCTTCGAACCCTAAAGCCCTAAACCCTAAAGCCCTTAATACCAGCTCAACAACTTGCAATTTTAGTCCCCCCATTGCTTGCAGTATCCTGCATGAGGCTTGTTTGCAAAGGCTTCTCTCCTTGTGCAATGAAGGCCCCAGACATGGAGTCCAAATATGAACCCCGCAGAGGAGGATCTTTCATTGAGGTTTAGGGTTTCAGCACTCCCAACTAGACAAGCAGGCGAGGATTCGAATACAGGTGTGTTGGGGGTTTAGGGTTTGGGGTTAAGGGAGGTATCCCGATTTTTTGATGTGCGCTGGGTCGGGCCTTCTACTTTTTCGCCCTTTTGGCCCTCCATGTCCTTCGGAACGTTCTGGATTTTCGCTTCCTGAGCTCTAACGCTTTGGAGGAGGGTGGTTTTAGGGTTTAGGGGGTTACTACTTCGAAAATTGAGCACTACAGATAACGCTCCCTCAAACTCCGCAACCTGCTTTCCTTGCGGACTCTGCCATATAATATACAAAAGTGATACGACGATAAGTCTGCACAGACTGGGCAGGTTGTGGTAGGCAGAGCGTCCACCAGCCCTTAAATAAGCAACACCTTAATATGCGGAAAGACCCCCGGATATGCTTTGCAGTATAACTGTGGTGATCATCAACGGAGCTCCGAAAAGGGCAACATACCCGTTTGCGGGTCGCATCCTTGTCCACAGGGAACACTACTCCAAGCGTTGCCGAATCAAAGAGTTCTCCAGATACCCTAGGCCCTAAACCCTAACCCTAAACCGTCCAATCTCTGGGGAGTCGACGATCGATGCTGGAGCCTCATCTGCCCTGTGGCTATGCTCTAGCAAGGGCTGCAGGCTGCAAGAGACCCGAAGAGCAAACCCAGAGCTTTCCCAGGGTTTCCCTTTAGGGGTGGCGGTAGAGTTTCGGGTTTAGTGCATCGAAGCACCAAGGAATGGGCCCTCACAAACGTTGGGCTTCAGGCGCAAGTTCGCGATTTCGACTATCGAGCAGATAACCGAAGCAAGCTCATACAAAGTTTTAGGGTTCAGGGTTGAAGCTCAAAACTTGAACCCTTGGCACCACCGGCAATCGAAACAGAACGAAAGCACCTACAGCTACAGGTACACGTACAGGTACTCCTACTCCTACTGCTCCTCCGCCTCCTGCTACTACTACTACTACTACTAATAATAATAATAATAATAATAATAATAATAATAATAATAATACTAGTGACAACAATAATAAGAAGAAGAATCATAGAACTGCTACTACCAGAAATTCTGCTGCTGCTTAGATTCTGGTCTGCTGTTTCTGCTGGCATAGTTGGACACTCCACACTTCGAGTGAAGCTCAGCTCAACAGGTGAAGACTGTAAACCAAAGAAAAACTTGTGTGGATCATGGTTCTATCACAGCCACTAGAAAAGACAAAATGCTGAACCCAACCTAAATCTTTAACTCTTGACATCTTAACCTATGTCATGAAACACTACACGAGAACTGTTGACAAGCATCAAGCAATCCGTTTCATGGTGTGGGTGCTTTCAATCACAAAGATGACATCTGAAGTCTATATATTCCACAACAACCCTAAACCCTTAACCTCTTTTTTGCACCTGGACTACGCATATGCCAGGAACCGAGGCGCCTACTGTGCTGGGGGCTAAACCCCCAAACCCTCTACAACTCTAGATCCCCCCGGAACCTTAATCCGAAAACGCCCTTCCCCTTACGCTGAGAACCTCGAAACCCTAATAACACCCTACGACACCCGCAGAAACGGCTCTAAAAGACTTCTCGACCCGCTCCCCCCCATAAACTCCGATACGGGCCTTTTAATAGGGCTGGGGGGGCATATTGTACTATCATCACCATCAGCACCCCCCCAAAACCTATTCCAAATATTAAGGCCCCGAAATAATAGTACCCTTACAGTAGCCGTTATAGACCCCTTTAAAGGAACCCTATTCTCATTGTTAAGGCCCCCATATTACACTTCCGAGGTTCTTCGTCTGCCTTAGTCTTGGGGGAATTCCCCACCTGGACGTCTGCAGACCTTCCATGCTTTAGGCAACAGCCACAGGGTTTGAAGAACTTTGTGGGTTTCGGGCTTTAGGGTTTAGAGTTTGGGGTTTTGAAGAACTATGTTGGTTTAGGGATGTGGCTTGTGGGAGCAGGTTCTGCTCTCTTCTCCAATAACCAGGCCCAAACAAAGTTCAAACTTTTAAGCTAGACCAAATATATGAAGCCAAAAAGTTTAAAGTTCTCCACTAGGCTAAGTAAGTCTGGGGTACCGGGAGAGTTTATTTGACCTTGGCTTCAGGGCACAGGGTGCTTGTGCGAGGTATTGAAGGCTGAAGGGCCTAAGGGTGTAGGGTAGAAGCCAGAAAGTTGGAATATGATTATCCTAATCCCTTTAAAGTAAATTATAGGGTATCCTACCCTGAAACCATATTCCAACTTTCTGGAGTTCGATGTAGGGTTTAGGATCTATAGAGCTGCAGGCGTTTGAGGGTTGAAGGTCTAGGGGATTCAGCGTGCGGGATTTAGGAATAAAGGAACCTCACATACACTTAAAAACCCTGAACGCATGGTCGGTGAGCTCCTGAATATCGGTCTCCTTAAAAGACCCTGTGCCCTTAAAAAAAACCCTGATAGATCCCTTAAAGGAACCCGACCCTTATAGATCCCATTATGGCAACTTAAATCAGATTCATTTTCTGGTGGTATCCTACGGTTGATGATATAAATCCTGCATTACCCATAAAAAGGAATATACCATAGTTCCCATAATTTAGGGTCCTTAGGGTAATGCAGGATTTATATCATCAACCCTAGTGGGTTTCATGGGATCTCCTTGCGGTCTCCACTATGTCGTTGTCGTCCGCGCACGTACCGAGGCATATGGGAGGTTCCGAAACTAGGGGACCCTAATATAGTACCCTAAATAGAAGGATCCTTATTAATTATAAGGACCCCTAATATAGTACCCTAAATAGAGTAGGATCCTTATAATAAGGACCCTCAAACTAAGGTACCCTTAGTTGTCGGAAACTCCCATATGTACATGTAGACATCCCAACCCGAAACCCAAAGCCTGTTTCCCAGGAGCACGGGTATGTCCGGTGACTTTTGCACGGACATCAGCGTTGTCGGTTCCATGGCGATGGCGGATGGCGGACGAAGAAGACTTCTTCCTAGATTACATGTGCACGTTGGTAGCTCAGGACAAGGTTCTGTTCCAAACGGTCTTCGTAGTGCCGACGTGCCGATACTGCCTTCTACTACGGCCATCGCTACTTCTGCCGAGGATGTTTCTGCTGCTACTATGCTACAATAGCGACTACTGCTACCGAAACATGCCAGCACCGCTCCTACGCTGCTATCATCATTACTGACTCAAAACATTGTATAGAGTTTAAGGGTGTACTGTATTCGAGTGCAAGCTTTAGGCTTGCTGCCGTTCAAACCTAATTAAGGTTTCGATTTGATTTACGGCTGTTTTGATGTATGGTGTTGGGTTTGGGGGTTTGTGTATCTGGGAACTTGAGCCACGCAGTGCGAAGAGCAAGTGAAGTGAGACACCCAGCAGCTGATGCAGTGTATGACTTGAACTCGGGCTGTGCCAGGACCCTCAACTCTATACTGAACTTAGAACCCCAGCAAAAACTCTAATTTTAGCTGTTTCTGAGGGAATATAATAACCAAAAATTAAAAGGTAGTTCAATATTTCTAAGTACCCTTAAGAACGCTCTTCGCTTGCAATCCGGAGCGAGGATTGCAACATGGAGCCTGGATTTCGTTGTGGTGACGGGGACCGAAACCCTCATAGGCCCTACACCCGAAATGCCCGGAATCCCCAACCCCACACAGAAAACGCTGCCAACAAGCGCCGACCCAAAAAATCATCAGTCCTAAACCCTAAAACCACAAACAAGTTAAACTTCTGAACCCAGAACATCTTGGTATACTTGCTGGTAGCGAACATGCCTGAACCATCCTTTTTTACACAGACTTGTATATGCCCGCCTGGATGTCGGATGCCAGCGCCGCTGCACTCGTGCCACTAACCCTATAACCGCTGTTTCTAAACAGAGGCGCAATGATGCAAAAATCCCAACAAACCCTGGGCACCAACCAAAAAATCTTGACCTTCGATCCCAATCCCTCAGCCGGCACGTACCTCCCATGCTCTGAATCAAAAAATGACAAACTCCCCAAACGCAAAATCGACACCCCCTCCAACACTCCTCCAAACCCTCGACGGCACCATCCAAACAACTTATAAACTGCAAACCCTCCCGAAATCTCTAAACCCAGAACCCCCAAACCCTTAACAGACCCCCATAGACCCCCTAAGCCCCAAACCGCGTTTGCCTCAACGCTAAACCACCCCAAACCCCAAGAAACGCAGGCAGATCCAGGCGGCCCCACTTCGCCACCCAGATCCAGAAGGTCCGAAGTGCTGAGGTTTCATGAGGTGTTTAGGGTTCAGGGCTTGAGGGTCAGGTTCAGGATTTTAGGTGATATTATCTCCACTTGAGGGTTTAGGGTTTATTTAGGCTCATAGAGAAAATTTTGGCCTGAGAAGTTTCTTGAGGTTTGGGATTTAGGTTCAGGGTTCTCGGGCATATTGAACATTGTTGGGTTTAGGGTTTAGGGGTCAGGCTCAGGGTTCCAGGTCATATTGAACATGTTGGGTTTTGGGTTTAGGGGCTAGGTCCAGGTTTTTAGGTGATATTGAGTAGTCTTAGAAGGAGCCTAAGACCAACAAAAGTGGAAAACATAATAGGCTTCAAAGGCTGCCCCAAGGTGTCTTCAGGGTTTTTGACGATGCTTCTTCGTATTCGATAAGCTTTCAAAAGAGTTCGTGGGGGTAGTTTCCCGGAACAACTGACGGTTGTCATCTGAATCTCCAGCAAGAACTTGTGTTGAAAGCTGAAGTTCATGCCGAATTGTTTTCGGAGCTGCAGAGGTGCGACTGTTCCGATGTTCTTACCATTTCTGATCTATGTCTTGGTGATGCTCAAACCCTGCGTGGGACTGGTCTGGCTTGCTGCAGCTGTTACATTTCGCTCTCTCAGACTCGCTCTCTCCCTCTTTCCCACTCCAAAGACTCAACTTGATATTCCCTAAGGGTCCATGTGCTCAAATAGTATAAACTTTGGGCCCAATGTACCCATGTAGGGACTACTTTAAGTTTCAAGCCCAAAGTGTTTGGGCACATGGACCCTTAGGGTTTGTAGTATCCTTAAGGGAGGGGGGTCCAAGGGGGGTATATAGCCTAGTGATCCCTAATTCTCTCTAGTACTCCCTAAGGTTCCCTTACAGTCCCCTAAGGATTACTTATACCCTCCCCCCTTGAACCACCCTCCCTTAAGGATCCTATAATAGGTTTCTGGATCCATGGCCGAGGGTCTTTCCCCACACAGTAGGAGCACGTCAGCAGGAACATCGGAACATCGTTAGCCCCCAAACGCATACATGGGAGTTTCCGAATATAGGGGACCCTAATTCAGTACCCTAAATAATAGGATCCTTATTATAAGGACCTAGTACCCCAAATAATAGGATCCTTATAAGGACCTCCCACTTTGCAAAACAAGGAGAGCCTGCATGAATAAACCTTAAACCCTAAACAATCCCATATCCGTGCTCCGACTTCACGGTTTCACGTTTAGGGTTTGGAGTTGAGGGCTTAGGATTTTTTTTTAAAGTGCGATGGCGCTCTTTCTCCAAGGCGCGCCTACCCAGAAAGGGCGGTTTAGGGGTATAGGGTTTAGGGTTTCGGAATACATACATCTGCAATTCTTAACAGTCCTCCCGGAATAAGCTCCTGTAGAGCTCCAACGCAAACACCATAAAGCACCCTAATGCCGATATAACAACTTCAGCTCTACACTCTACCTATAGTCTCCATTGTAATTCCTTTTTGGAGTTACTTTATAGGATCCTAATCATATATTTGGTTAAACCAAAAGAAAGGAACTACAATGGAGACTATAGGTATACCAAAACCCTTCAGCCCATGACCAGGCTTTGCTAAGGTCTCGGCCCTGGCGCCCCGGGATAGGCGGAGGGGCTGCCCTCAGGACCCGCAGCTGCACCGCGGCCCACCATGGACCTTTTTGCCACCCGCCCAGCTGAAACAAGTCGCACCGCAGGGAACTCGTCCGAACTTACTGTGACTGTTGAGAAGGAAGATCCCGAATGGACCTTTTAGGACTCATAATCGGACTCCTTTTTAGCACTAGCACGAGTAACATAGCAACGATAATAAGATGCCATGGTAATGGTAACAGTCACACTAGTAATAACCGTCAACTCCAAGCCCTTGCAACTAGGAAAAGTGTAGGCTTTAGAATGTAGCGCCTCCTTGGTTTCACCACGGAAGTCATGGATTTTTAGACGTAGGGAGCAGCGGGGCGTAGGTTATACCTAAAGCCACCATCATCTTATGTTTATTTCCAGGGTCTCCAATGTAACAATCTGTACCAGGATTTCTAGTACTACTCAGGCTAGGCGGTTTGGGTTTGGCAGCCAAGCCCTATAAACCCTAAACCCTAAACCCTGAGTCCTAAAACCCTAAACCCCATGAAAGCCCTAAACCCCATTAAAACCCTAAACCCTAAACCCCGGCTGCAGGCTTAGACGGTTCAGGGCCTACGGGTTGAAGCTTTTGGGTCTCGTGGGTTTCGGTGATATGGGGCAATGATGCTATCCTTAAGTGAAGCTTCCTAAACCCTAAACCACGAAAGCCTAGAAACCCTGTAGAAACTCTTTACACCTGGACTAGGCATATGCCAGGAACCGAGGCGCCGACTGTAGAAACCCTAAACCCTAAACCCTTAAACCCTACACCCTGTAGAAACCCTAAACCCTAAACCCTTAAACCCTACACCCTGTAGAAACCCTAAACCCTACACCCTGTAGAAACCCTAAACCCTCAACCCTTAAACCCTAAACCCTCAACCCTTGAACCCTACACCCTGTAGAAACCCTAAACCCTAAACCGTGGCACTGGGGAGGCGCTGGGGCCGGGGTTCCTCAAAGGGCCAAAGGTCATGATCTGGAAGATCCTTTTGTAGCTGGGCTCCGAGTCTCAGCCAGCCGGAAGATCCTCAATCCCAAACCCCAAAAGACCAGAACTTTAACCCCCAAAACCCCAAAACCCTCAACCCTTTCAACACCCTAAAACATCATGGGGATATACAGCACATACTGTTGTTACCTCATTCTAGTAAGTTAGTTTAAGTTCCTTAACAGCAACCCTGCAAGCTCTCAGTGCGGACTTCAGCGCCGGGCCGTATCACCCCCCGCATGCCACCGGCAGTCTTGGCTTGCCTCTTCTGCTCCTTGCCGGACTAGTCCGCAGAAATTCGGGGTTGCTTAAGGCTCTAAACCCTTAAACCCTAAAGCTTCCGGATCAACACACTTCCCAAGGAGGTGGTAAATGCAAGAAGAGTTCTGAGTAGGGGTATCCCCCAGCATGCTACACATAACTCGACATGTAACGCGCTAGGTCCTCTCATGCTTCATGCAGGGTTTAGGGATGTCAGGGGTTCAGAGTTTCAGGTTTGCCTGTGGCGATTTGTCCGTGGACTACTCCCCGGAATTGAACCGCTCACTATGCCTACATACCACTGCAAATTTGCAGGATTTATGATCGAGGTAGGTTTCGGGCTTCTTCGAGCTTCCATGGACCTTGCAGGGCAAGTTTGCGGGAGGGGGTGACAGAAAACGTCGGACGCTGACAGGGCAGAGCCACTTCTCAGCTTGCGGGATAATGTGCCTTGAGGAGCAGTCATTCCTACAACTCTGCTTTCTTCCACTAAAAAGTGTAAATATTCAACAATTATTAACGACCAAGTACGAACTACTTTGGACCCTGCGTGCCTGCTCCTCCCACTGCGCACGTTTATGTGCCTGGGCGGTCATGTTACACTACAGGTTTACTACAGGGTCCTTGCCGCTTCAAAAATCAAAATATTGCGTGGGGTCCATCATGGTACGCTTTCGTATGGGCTAGAAAGGGATGCTGTTGCTAGTTGATGATACATTAGGACTGCGGTAGTTTGTGCCGTCCCTCAGCACCTAGATGTGTTTACATACAGAGTCTCTTCGGTTGCTGCAGAGTATCTCCACGCATGGCAGCCCTGTCA